TTATTTTGCTAATGTAAAATGTAATCTTGTGCTGAAATTTTGTCGGAGGGTCCTTACGGGTTTTGTAGTTAAATAGTTTTTTTTTCGGCGATAATGGTTCAAGAATATAATGTTTTCAAACTATATGTTCATCAACATCAGTGAATGTATGCAAAATATTTACTAACAGCTATATGATATAGCGGTTTATGAGCGTTTTCCGCGTTATTAATATACGACGTTTAAGTGTAAAGAACTGATAAATTAATAAAAAACTTTAATTATAAATAAATCTAACTGAAATCAAATGTATGTTCACGTTGAAAATATAAAACTATAGAAAATATTTGCATGGCCTTTAAGCTAAGGGTAGTGAAAGGTGCCGGTAAAATTATATTCGCACAGAATTTTCGTGCACTTATTTCAATCGGATATAATTCACTTTTATTCATGATAAACATTATGTAAAAATGGCTGCCTTCATCAGAGAGATCATTGATGTCATTCAACATTAAAACCGTCTCGTCAATGTAAAACGGATAAATGGATAACGTTTTGGACCCCAAATTTGGTAAGTTTCCTTATTTACGAGCTTAGCTTAACACAATGTTCAGCTGTATATGGCCGATGATTTTTTTGTGAGTTGGGATTGGACAGTAAATGTCATGTTTATGTTGTTGATTTTTTAGCTCACCTGAGCATGCTCAGGGTGAGCTTTTAGGATCGATGATTGTCCGTCGTCCGTTTTCCGTTCACATTTAGTTGTTAACACTCTAGCGGTCGCATTTTTGCCTCAATCATCATCAAACTTGGTCAGGATGCTTATCTAGTTGATAGCTCGGATGAGTTCGAACATGGGTTATCTCGGATGAAAAACTAGATCACAAGAGCTAAAAATAAAAAAACCTTGTTAACACTCTAGAGGTCACATTTTTGCCTCAATCATCATCAAACTTGGTCAGAATGCTTGTCTAGGTGATAGCTCAGATGAGTTCGAACTTGGGTCATCTCGGATGAAAAACTAGGTCACCGGAGCTAAAAATAGAAAAACCTTGTTAACACTCCAGCGGTCACATTTTTGCCTCAATCATCATCATACTTGGTCAGGATGCTTATCAAGTTGATAGCTCGGATGAGTTCGAACATGGGTCATCTCGGATGAAAAACTAGGTCACAAGAGCTAAAAATAGAAAAACCTTGTTAACACTCTAGAGGTCACAATTTTGCCTCAATCATCATCAAACTTGGTCATGATGTTTGTCTAGGTAAACCTCGGATGAGTTCGAACATGGTTCATCTCGGATGAAAAACTAGGTTACAGGAGCTAAAAATAGAAAGACGTTGTTAACACTGTACATAGCGGTCACATTTTTGCATCAATCATCATCAAACTTGGTCAAGATACTTGTCTATGTGATAGCTCAGATGAGTTCGAACATGGGTCATCTCGGATGAAAAACTAGGTCACCGGAGCTAAAAATAGAAAAACCTTGTTAACACTCCAGCGGTCACATTTTTGCCTCAATCATCATCAAACTTGGTCAGGATGCTTATCTAGTTGATAGCTCGGATGAGTTTGAACATGGGTCATCTCGGATGAAGAACTAGGTCACAAGAGCTAAAAATAGAAAAACCATGTTAACACTCTAGCGGTCACATTTTTGTCTCAATCATCATCAAACTTGGTCAGGATGCTTGTCTAGGTGATAGCTTGGATGAGTTCGAACATGGGTCATCTCGGATGAAAAAGTAGGTCACAGGAGCTAAAAATAGAAAAACGTTGTTAACACTCCAGCGGTCACATTTTTGCCTCAATCATCATCAAACTTGGTCAGGATGCTTATCTAGTTGATAGCTCGGATGAGTTTGAACATGGGTCATCTCGGATGAAGAACTAGGTCACAAGAGCTAAAAATAGAAAAACCATGTTAACACTCTAGCGGTCACATTTTTGTCTCAATCATCATCAAACTTGGTCAGGATGCTTGTCTAGGTGATAGCTTGGATGAGTTCGAACATGGGTCATCTCGGATGAAAAAGTAGGTCACCGGAGCTAAAAATAGAAAAACCTTGTTAACACTCTAGCGGTCACATTTTTGCATCAATCATCATCAAACTTGGTCAAGATGCTTGTCTAGGTGATAGCTTGGATGAGTTCGAACATGGGTCATCCTGGATGTAAAACTAGGTCACTGGAGCTAAAAATATAAAAACCTTATTAACATTCTAGCGGTCACATTTTTGCCTCAATCGTCATCAAACTTGGTCAGGATGCTTGTCTAGGTGATAGCTCGGATGAGTTCGAACATGGGTCATCTCGGATGAAAAAGTAGGTCACCGGAGCTAAAAATAGAAAAACCTTGTTAACACTCTAGCGGTCACATTTTTGCCTCAATCATCATCAAACTTGGTCAAGATGCTTGTCTAGGTGATAGCTTAGATGAGTTTGAACATGGGTCATTTCAGATGAAAAACTAGGTCACAGGAGCTAAAAATAGAAAAATCTTGTTAACACTGTAGCGGTCACATTTTTGACACAAGTGTCATCAAACTTGATCAGGATGCTTGTCTAGGTACTTGCTCGTATGAGTTCGAACATGGGTCATCTCGGATGAAAAACTAGGTCACAAGAGCTAAAAATAGAAAAACCTTGTTAACACTCTAGTGGTCATAATTTTGACTCAATTGTCATCAAACTTGGTCAGGAAACTTGTCTAGGTCATTGCTGGGATTAAATCGAACATGGGTCATCTCGGATGAAAAACTAGGTCACAGGAGCTAAAAATAGAAAATCTTGTTAATCATCATCAAACTTGGTCAAGATGCTTGTCTGAGTTCGTACATGGGTCATCCTGGATGTAAAACTAGGTCACTGGAGCTAAAAATAGAAAAACCTTATTAACATTCTAGCGGTCACATTTTTGCATCAATCATCATCAAACTTGGTCAGGATGCTTGTCTAGGTAATCGCTCGGATGAGTTCAAAATCGCATGTGAAACTAGGTCACCGGAGTTAAAAATAGAAAAATCTCTTTAACACTCTAGTTGCTACTGTTTTGATCCAAGTATCCTGGAAATTGGTATGAAAGTTTGTTTTGATGATTTCTAGGTCAAGTTTGAATTTGGGTCACCTGGGTAAAAAACTAGGTCACACTGCTCAAATATGGATAATCCTTGTTAATACTGTAGTGGTCACATTTTTGACTCACCTGTCATGAGACTTGGTCAGAATGCTTGTGTAGGTAATTGTTTGGATGAGTTTGATGGGTCAGGTGAGCGATCTAGGGCCATCGTGGCCCTCTTGTTTATAATGTCGGACGATATACCAAAAAAAGAAGATAAAGTTTGAGCATCATCCAACAAACTATTATTTTTGTCAATGCTAAAATCAACAGTGACTTTGTTCCTCCAATTGATTTCATTTATTGCTACAACTTTCAGTCAGTTTCTATGGTGTCCTGTTTGAGGCAGTTAAAATATCCCTGTTACGATTTAAGATTGACTAAATCTCTTGTTTACGCTCGACTATTCGAAAAGTAGAAGAGCTATTGTAAATATGAATTTTGACAAAACTATGGCCCTTTAAACTAAAAAAATTATACATTATTCAGGCTAAGCACTGAGAATAGTCGAGCGCACTGGCTCTTGTTAATAGATATTTAGCAAGATTTAACATTCTCTTTCGAAGAACTTTCACTATAGACATGGGTACTGTAAATAGGTTAAAGTTCAGGCAAAAAACATGCGAAAATTAAGGTTAATCATCGCCAAGATTTTTACATTTTGATTCGCACGAGGATTAAAGTATGAGAAAGTATAAGCATGGGACAAATTCAACGTTGAATGGCGCGAAAAGTTTCTTGCCAGAATGTAAAATCTTGCTACTTTATCTATGAAAGTACAGAAAGGTGGGGCAAGACTATAGGAAAGAAATATAACATACCAAGAAGAGTCCTTTAACTGGCCCAAGCAGGACACAATACATTTCAACTGTATTAAACCCACTAGGAAAGTAAAGTCATTTAAAAGTGTCTTCTTACAGACGTTTTAAAAAGAAGACACTTTTTGAATAGCTCAGCTGTGGGTATAGTCGTATAAATTTATTGGCTGGTGTCTTCATATTTGGTAAGTAGATATCTCGTCTATGTCACTGGTTCAAAAAATAGATTTTTGTGTCGCCTCTCACTTCTCCGTCGTCTGTCCGTCCGTCTGTCCGTCCATCACAAAACTTGTCCGGACTACTCCTCATAAACTACAGGTGCAATTTCATCCAAACTTTACAGGAATGATCAGTAGCAAGTCTAGTTGTGCATATTGTCAGCATTTTCCGGTTCAATGATTTTTGTCAGAGTTATGGCCCTTTAATAATTTTTATTTTTAAAGTTTGTCCGGACTACTTCTCTTATACCACTAATGCAATTTCAATGATTGATCTGTAGCTCAAGTCCTTGCGCATATTGCACGGGTTTTCCGATTGAATGATTTTTGGCCAAGTTATGGCCCTTTGATAAAAAGGTGTTTTTTTCTGTGTGTTGCCAGATACACAAAACTTTGTCCGGACTACTCCTCTAAAACTACTGGTGCAATTTTATCCAAACTTTACAGGAATGATCAGTACCAAGTCTAGTTGTGCACTGTCTGTCTGTCTGTCCGTCTGTCACAAAACTTGTCCCAACATGAAATTGGCCATCATGAGGCGACACATGTGATCACTGATCGCACTTTTTACACTTTGCTCTTACTAACATGAATATCCAGCGTTTATATATTCTTGTTTTCTTTGTTTAAAACAAAAAAGTGGTTATCAAATAGAGCTGTAGGATATATAACCGTTGAATTTAGTACTAGATGTTCCAAATTAAATTTTATGCGCAACAATGAAGGTACATATTTGTAAGGCAATTAAATAACCAAAACAAGTATGGGAAGTTTGTTTTTACCATATTATTCCTCCTACGTAAACATTATTATACCCGGAGGTAACTATATACATTTATATATAGTGTATTTACTCTACCGTTTAAAGCATAAGCTAAATATATCCTGAATGAAAGTTTTTACAATTATTTTCACATTGTATTATCAGTTGAATGGATTTTAGTTTAACTTGTCACGAATTTGTTAAGGCGAATTTATAAAAATAGTCAGCGTCAGATTCTATGACGTGTGTTCTCAAATGTTTTAATGACGTGCTATAAAGTAATCTAGCAGATTTAGGTTGTTGGGTTGTAGCTAAGTGGATTTAATTTGATCTATCTATTTCAAATAGAGAGTACCTATAGGTGGATGAAAATATGGATTGGTAAACAGGATACGGGTTTAAGATTTTAAAAAGGTAAAGTTTTAGTTTTTGGTTATGTTTAACTGTTTAATAATGTCTTATGTGAAAAGTTTGATTTTAGTAATGTTTTGCTTTGTTTTTTTGTTGTTGTTTTTTGTGCTGTGATTTTATGTATACATGTATATATATTTGCATACACAAAGCAAATCTTATTGACATCATGTATCGGGTGTGTAAATTAACATAATATATACACAGTTTAGTGTGTAAGTCATGGTTGAATTAGAATGGTCAACCTTCCAGCATTATATACAAGGACTGGTATTGATTATTTGATTAATAAAGGAGAGCTGAGTGAGACAAACTGGTAATGACAATACATCATATATTTTACTGTTATTTGGGATTAATACAGTTTGATAGTGAAAATCATTTTCCTCTCATTATATTTCAAAATTTGATAAAAGTTTTTCTTCACATGTATTAGCATGTACTTATGAATTGGAAATTAAATATCTGAAAATAAGGGTCAAATTAATTAAGTTAACATTTAAAGTTCAAAATAAATATAGTTAACAATTTAATTTGCCTCTAGAGCATTTGTCCTCTCCATGAAATTTAAGTAGAGGACATTTTAGAATACACACCATATGTCTAAATCTCAAATGTGTTGAATCAAGGTGACTTGATTTGCTCAATTTTTTTTTTTGCCTTTAGCAGGCTGGTGAAAATGCCCGATGGTGACTTGATTTGCTCAATTTTTTTTTTTGCCTTTAGCAGGCTGGTGAAAATGCCCGATCAGGCTTATGACTTAAAAACTCATATCTCTAGAAAAAATAATAAAGATAGTTTCATTAAACTTTGTTTAGTATTGCTGCAATCCAAAGTGATAAGCCTTTGCCATCAGCATAGAGCTAGGCCTGCACTTCCATGGCCTGATTGATGGAGGTTCTATATCGCGCATTCTCAATAAAACACAGCATTTGATGTTCCACTGGGTAGCTCTTATACGAAGGTTTTTCTTGAGGTCAAAATGTCGTTAGAAAGGTGGCTGCCACTTTGTCTAATAGGGACACTCTCAGTTTTACATTTCTATCTGTTATTTTTCTTTTACAAGTACCATTTAATGCCCTAAAAATGTAACATACGTTACTGTCGCCACCTAGAATTTTCAACTTTGAAATTGTGTTTCAGAAAAATAAGTTCCAGAATAAACGAAACATGTGCAATTAGTCATTGCTGTGTGTATATGCACTTTGATTATTGGTAAAAATTATATTTGACTGTTAAAATCTCATTGGTATAATGATTGATCAAATGTCGCCAAATGCATATAAATAAATAGTGACAAACCTAAAACAATAAGAAGTGAAACCCAAATTACATAATTGAATCGATGCATGCTTAATAATACATCATATATATAATTATAAGTAAAAATAAGCTTGCAGCCTCTCAAATATCATTCTATTTTCGGAAATTTTCATTTTTTATTCAAATCTTTTCAACAGCACTTTAAAAAGAAACATACGTTACCATTATTTAATATATTATATATTAACCACAAATTATGGCGGTTTAAACGGTTTTGCGTCATTTTTAAACCACTGTCAATGTAAAAATGAAACATACGTTACAGAAACATACGTTATCAACTTTTTAAAGTAAGTTTATCAAAAGGGAAATTGAAGTCAGAAAGCACGTATATCATCAACATTAACTTCTATTTGACATTAGTAAGTAAATTTTGTTAACTTTGGTCGTGTTTTTACTTGTTTAAGTAACCACAGTGAAACAAACGTTACTTTTATCAAACAGACTTTATATTGTTTACACATGCATATATAAAAACATAAAATCGCATTTTTATGACAATAGAATGATGTGCATTTGATTCCTAAATAAAAAAGTCGATTTTACATGTAAGTTTAAATTCCGTGATAAAGTTCATAAATAAGCGAGTGTGAAACATACGTTACTCCAACTTACAATTCAACAATTTTTGAAAATTAAAGATAAAGTTGGGATTAGCATGCCTGTTTAGTAACGGTTACCTTGTATTAGATGTAAGAAGACACAAAATTGTTTTTTTCAAAGGAAAGATATGTTTAATAATATGTTGATGTACCAGCAGAAATGTTAAAAATATATTACACGATATTGATGTTCTCTCAGCAACAACTAATTCGTTTCTGCAAAGAGCTTACTGGCCGTATTTCATTCTATATATAATAATGTTAAAATAATATCCATAAATGTAAATTATTTTACAAAAAAAAAAAAATTGTTTTCCCAACCTTTACTTGCATTTTGAATAAAATGAAACATACGTGACATCCTATATGGGGATAAATATCGAACTGTTTGGTACTAAATTTTCCAAATAATTAAGAAAGTGGAAAAGTTGAATATTTTGAGAGAAAAAATTGCTAATTACAAAATTGTGTTTGCATTCGAACCTCTCATATATTATATATGATAATATCCTTTGAATGAAGACATAAAATAATCATTTTCAAAATTGACTATTTTTGCTTTCTACGAATATATTTAACTTTGAAGAAATTGACTGAAAATTAGCAAAATTTAGCAAGGTTACCCAACTTCTTTGAATTTTCCTGGGTTAGAAAGTCCCTCTAGATAGAGAATTTACAGATTTTGATATATTTTACAGACATTTGTTATTAATATGCAGCCAATATGTTACATTATTAGATCTGAAATCTACGTTACCGGAGAAATACAGTGTCATTACCGAAATAAATGCCATCCTGTTATATCATAGTTTCTTGTTCAAAATATTTCTGGCAAACTTGCAAAATACCCTAAACATTTACTTCAGCGATAAAAAATGACACAATGACAACATCAAATTTTTAATATTTTTCAACCTCAAATGCTTTATTTTATTGAGAATGGGCGATATACAGATTGATCAGTTGTTATACATTTTCTTAACCATTCCTCTGCTGAAAGTGATTATAGCCGTTGAATCTGGACAGCCTCTATATATATGTTGATTTCAGTTTCAACCATTACAGCAAGTAATTTAGGCAGTATTTCCCAATTTCTAAAAATTCCCCATTATATTTAATAATTATATGTAGAACCTCACTGTTTTTGTCACATGATTACATCAGATTTAGTCTATATCCATATGAACTTGTATTCCTCGATTGTTCAGGTACATAATGTGGAAGGAGCTATGGGTGTTGGCATTGTGCATGTGTCTATCTGTTAGTGAAGGACTGCCCTATAATGATGATGAATATGATAATCAGATGCCTGGAAACTATTTAAACAGATTTCTCGTGCAAACTGACAGCTGGGAGACTGCACAAAATGTAGCACGTGATAATGGATTTGAACTTGTTGAAAAGGTAAGGTATAAATGATTGAATTCTGTGTAGTATATTAATTTATTTTCTAGCCAGGGGTTCTATCGATATGGTACTTAACTTTTATTGAAAAATATCAATTTTTACATAAATATCATACACAAATGAGATTTTTCTTCTATTTGATAAGTGAATATTTGGTAAGTGAACTTTTTCCAAAAGGCAAAACAGTTTGTCACAAATTTATTTCAGAAGATCCAATTAAAAATGTCATTTTTAAACTATTATCATTGTCTGCCAGTTTGGATGATTTCAGAAGAGGTTACTATGGTATTATGGTTATCCCCAAAAACGCAAGTAAGGAAAGATACAAATTTCCAACAGTTAACTTTTTTCAAACTATATAAACAGCCGATATATAGAGGATATTGAATGAGTGTAAGTTCAATACTGAATTTATTGCACAAGTTGAATAAAATTATATTATGTGAGCCTCTGGCAAGCATAATACTTGTACTATTTTATTAAACAAGTTCAATAAATTAAGTAATGAACTTGCACAAATTTAATATTCAATTTTTCACCCCCCCCCCAAAAAAAATAGACCGTTTAAAGTGTAAAAAAGTCATTTATCATTGACGCGCCTATAGTATAATGCTAACATTTAGTGCGTCTTTACACTATGTTTGTATAACGCTAATGACGTCACATCAAAATATATGCAAGGTCGTGCAATACCATTTTTACAGAGTTGCAAAATCTGCATGGGTGTGTGATAAGTCAATATATCGAATTTTAACATATTTTAATTGCATGCCTGTTTAAAAACAATTAAGGGAAATAGTAGTCAAATATGAAGATTTCATAAAATAGTTTTCTTACCACAAATATTTTCATTATTCACTAAGGCAGATGTTATGTGATAGTTGTGTGATAGTTTTAAAGATAGTAGCATCTGCATGTGTTTCTTTTACTCGCAGTGGAAGAAACTGTAAATACTGTGATGCCATAGAACCCGTGATATCATAGGAACAGAGTATACTTTGATGACTTGACAGAAATGTGTCAGTATTACAGAATGAGAAATATCAGTCTTAAAAAAACAAGCAGGGTCTTAAAATTATGTTATTTACCAAACATCACTCCTGGCTTCAGGATGTTAGCTTGTTATTTTGTGTAAAAAATGAAGTGAGACAAATAGAGCCACATTATTAATGCACTATTCAATTGTAACCCCTGTGCTGCTAGTGCTAGGGAATTGGGAGGCAGTAAGTTTTTACATTCATCTATCCTCACAGTGCTTTATAGTCAATTAGTGGCTTTCATTTTGGTGCCAATATAAATGGGAATTGAATACCATCCTACTGTCGTATATATACCATCCTACTGTCATATATATACCATCCTACTGTCCTATATATACCATCCTACTGTCCTATATATAACATCCTACTGTCCTATATATACCATCCTACTGTCGTATATATACCATCCTACAGTCCTATATATACCATCCTACTTTCCTATATATACCATCCTACTGTCCTATATATACCATCCTACTGTCCTATATATACCATCCTACTGTCCTATATATACCATCCTACTGTCGTATATATACCATCCTACTGTCCTATATATGAATACAGGACCTTTACATTAGTGTTTAATAATCTCACAATTTTTATTGGGTGGAAAACAATTAAGTAGATAAATTGTAATTGTGAGATTTTGAATTAATATCAGGGGCAGATTCAGGCTGCAATGGTAATTGTGGTTGATTTTGCATGCAGTTGCACAAAGCTGTGTGTTTGGGGTTATGGTACATGAGGTACTGAGGATTTCCGCATAAAACTTGGAAAATGAAGGTGTACAATGTATAATGATCCAATCTGGTGCATTTTGTGGCATTATTGTGCATTCAGACACTCAAATATTTTTTATAATATACTGAAAATATCTGCCATTAAACATGAGAATCATATGTAGAGTCAGTGCTGTCCCATTATGTCCCAAATGTTCCCATTTTATCTTGACTATTAAAGTATATGGAGAGCAAATGGTTTTTACTACAACTTTTTTATATCCTATTTAAAGGTATCTACTTCAAACTTCTAATATGTATTCTTCATCATGATGAACCTTGTCAATTATGATTTGATTGATGTCATCAAACGCATCATAATTGACAAGATTCATAACTCTAGAAGTAATATTTTCAGAATAATCTCCCCTTGAACTTGAAATTTTCCTTAATAAAATGTTATGTTTTTACTATAACTTCTTTATTTCTTAAGGTATCTACTTTAAACTTCAAATATATGTTCCTTATCTGATCATCTGCATCAAGTATGACAAGATTCATATCTCATCTTAAGACATATTTCCAGAATTATTCCCCTCTTGAACTTGGATATTTTTTCAATAATTAAGAAGAAGTGCAATGCACAAGAACTGGTACTCTGCATTTCTTATTTTTCAAGTTATTGCCCTTTGTTAAGTTTCATACTGTACTTTTGTCCAGGCCATTTCTCCAAATGTATAAAAGCTATGGACATGAAACTTCATAGGATGGTATATGTCATGAAGAAGAAGTGCAGTGCAAAAGAACCGGTACTCTGCATTTCTTATTTTTTGAGTTATTTCCCTTTGTTAATTTTCATATTTTATTTTTGTGCAGGCCATTTTTCCTAAAGTATAAAAGCTATGGACATGAAACTTCAAAGGATGATAGATCTCATTAAGAAAAAGTGCAGTGCACAAGAACCAGTACTCTGCATTTCTTATGTTTTGAGTTATTACCCTTTATTAATTTTCATATTTTATTTTTGTCCAGGGCATTTCTCATAAATTATAAAAGAGATAGACTTGAAACTTGAGGTTGATAAGAAGTGCAGTGCACAGAAACTGCTGCTCTTATTGCCCTTTTTAGCTCACCTGTCACAAAGTGACAGGGTGAGCTTTTGTGATCGCTTTTCGTCCGGCGTCCGTCCGGCATCCGTAAACTTTTACTTTAAATGACATCTCCTCATAAACCACTAGGCCAATTTCACCCAAACTTCACAGGAATGTTCCTTTGGTGGTCACCTTTAAAAATGTTCAAAAAATTTAATTCCATGCAGAACTCTGGTTGCCATGGCAACCAAAAGAAAAAACTTGAAATATCTTCTTTTAAAAAACCCTAAGAGCTGGAGCTTAGATATTTGTCATGAAACATCTTCTAGTTAGTGTCTACCAAGTTTGTTCAAATAAAAGCCCTGGGGTCAAAATTGGTCCCGCCCCAGGGGGTCATTGATTTTCCCTATTTGCATATAGTAAAAACTTAAAAAATCTTCTTTTAAAGAACCCAAAGAGCTAGAGCTAAGATATTTAGCATGAAACATGTTCTAATGAGTGTCTACCAAGTTTGTTCAAATAAAAGCCCTGGGGTCATAATTGGCCCTGCCCCAGGGGGTCATTGATTTTCCCTATATGCATATAGTAAAAACTTAAAAAATCTTTTTTTAAAGAACTCATAGAGCTAGAGCTAAGATATTTAGCATCAAACATGTTCTAATAGGTGTCTATCAAGTTTGTTCAAATAAAAGCCCTGGGGTCAATATTGGCCCCGCCCCGAGGGTCATTGATTTTCCTTATATGTGTATAGCAAAAACTTAAAAAATGTTCTTTGAAAAAACCCAAATAGCTAGAGTTTAGATATTAAGCATGAAACATCTTCTAGTGAGTGTCTACAAAGTTTGTTCAAATAAAAGAACTGGGGTCAAAATTGGCCCCGCCCCGGGGATCATTGATTTTCCTTATATGTGTATAGCAAAAACTTAAAATCTTCTTTGAAAAAACCCAAATAGCTAGAGTTTAGATATTAAGCATGAAACATCGTCTAGTAAGTGTCTACAAAGTTTGTTCAAATAAAAGCCCTGGGGTCAAAACTGGCCCAGCCCCAGGGGTGTCATTGTTTTTAACTATATGTGTATAGTAAAAACTTTAAAAAAATCTTCTTTTAAAAAGCCCATTGAGCTAGAGCTTAGATGTTTAGCATGAAACATGTTCTTATGGGTGTCTACCAAGTTTGTTCAAATAAAAGCCCTGGGGTCAAAATTGGCCCCGCCCCAGGGGGTCATTGATTTTTCCTATATGCGTATAGTAAAAACTTAAAAAATCTTCTTTTAAAGAACTCAAAGAGCTAGAGATTAGATATTAAGCATGAAACATCTTCTAGTGAGTGTCTACAAAGTTTGTTCAAATAAAAGAACTGGGGTCAAAATTGGCCCCGCCCCGGGGGTCATTGATTTTCCTTATATGTGTATAGCAAAAACTTAAAATCTTCTTTGAAAAAACCCAAATAGCTAGAGTTTAGATATTAAGCATGAAACATCTTCTAGTAAGTGTCTACAAAGTTTGTTCAAATAAAAGCCCTGAGGTCAAAACTGGCCCCGCCCCAGGGGTGTCATTGTTTTTAACTATATGTGTATAGTAAAAACTTTAAAAAATCTTTTAAAAAGCCCAATGAGCTAGAGCTTGGATGTTTAGCATGAAACATCTTCTTATGGGTGTGTGTGTGGGGGTGGGGGCTATATACAGGTGAGCGACCTCAGGGCCATCATAGCCCTCTTGTTTAATTTTCATACTTTATTTTTGTCCGTGCCATTTCTCCTAAACTATAAAAGCTTTGGACATGAAACTTCATAGGATGATAGGTCTCATCGAGATGAAGTGCAGTGGACTAAAACCGGTACTCCATGGTTTTTGAGTTGCCTTGAAAAGGCGACATATAGGGATACTTTTGTCAGCTACGTCAGCGTTGTTGTCGGTGTCCCCTTAAGGTTGTCCGGAGCATAACACAGTCACTATAAGTCGGATTGACTTGAAACTTTGTATGCAGGCTTCTTTTAATAACCACAGGTGCATTGCACAAGGACGGGTACTCTGAACTTCTTAATTTTTCGAGTTATTGCCTTTTGTTAATTTTTATACTTTAATTTTGTTCGGGCCATTTCTCTTTAACTATAAAAGCTATGGACTTGAAACTTCAGAGGATGATA